TCTTGGAGTTATCGTGGACAGTTTTCTGAAAACTTCCACACAGTGTGCAGCGGCGGTCAAAAAGGCAAATAGGATGCTAGGAATTATTAGGAAAGGGATAGAAAATAAGACCCAGAACATCTTACTGCCCCTGTATAAAACTATGGTACACCCACATCTTGAATACTGTGTACAGATGTGGTCTCCTCACCTCAAAAAAGATATTTTGGCCTTGGAAAGGGTTCAGAAAAGGGCAACTAAAATGATTAGGGGTTTGGAACGGGTCCCATATGAGGAGAGGCTAAAGAGACTGGGACTTTTCAGTTTAGAAAAGAGGAGACTGAGGGGGGATATGATAGAGGTCTATAAAATCATGAGTGGTGTGGAGAGGGCTGATAAAGAAAAGTTATTTATTAGTTCCCATAATAGAAGAACTAGAGGACACCAAATGAAATTAACGGGTAGCAGGTTTAAAACTAATAAAAGGAAGTTCTTCTTCACACAGCGTGTAGTCAACCTGTGGAACTCCTTGCCAGAGGAGGCGGTGGACTATAATAGAGTTTAAAGAGAAGCTGATGTCGGTAGACAGGATACTGGGCTAGATGGACCTTTGGTCTGACCCAGTACGGCCGTTCTTATGTTCTTATGTAGATTCTTTTAATAAAATTTATACTTAGAGAAATAGATTTATTTTTAAATAGTCCCTGGTGCTGGCCACTGTCGGTAGACAGGATACTGGGCTAGATGGACCTTTGGTCTGACCCAGTACGGCCGTTCTTATGTTCTTATGTAGATTCTTTTAATAAAATTTATACTTAGAGAAATAGATTTATTTTTAAATACAAGTTTATACATAAGAAAAGATTCTCTGTATAACAAGCAGGAAAAATGTATTGCACCTGTAACTGCTTGCCATAGAATATATTTTCCCTTTTAATACTTGAAATTGTTCTTCTCACTGACACAGCGAGAGAGGGAGGAGAATATTGGCGAGTGCGTGCGTGTGTGTATGGGGTGGGTGGGGTGGGGTGGGAGGAGGGACAAAAAACAAGAAAGTGGGCAGGGGGAGAGAATGGGAGGATGTGGTAGAGTACATTATTTCAGAGTTACTATGTGTTCCTGGTTTTGGGACTGCCATAGCAAGGGTCATCATACTCTAATCTATTTGTGGAACTCTTAAATAAGTCAAATGGGGATGTAGTCTAAACAGAGCTGTGTCTGACTACATGATAGTATGTGGGGGAGTCCACAGAACAGTTGCTAACCATAGCAGACTACAACTTGAAGTCTTTTAGGGTATGTCTACACTGCCACCCTAGTTTGAACTAGCGTTAAACCTCATTGCAGGAGGAATAATGGTAGTTCGAATTAGGAGCTTTAATTCGAACTACCTAGTCCGTGCTGCGTGTAGCCGCGGGCAGGTAGTTTGATCTATGGGCATTTAAAAATAGCACCCGCCCGGGAACATGCAGATGAAGCCCGGGATATTTTAATCCCAGGCTTCATTTGCAAGTTCGAATGCCTACATTAGCCACCCTAGTTTGAAGTAGGGTGGCAGTGTAGACATACCCATAAATACCATTTAATAGTCCTGTGCTGCACTAAATGCAACATGCCCTATTGTAAACTAACTCAGTAGGGAGCACTACAATGAGGACCATGCCTCACAACTAAGGAGACAGACTCATCTCCGCTCAAGCTAGCATGCAAAGACAGAAGTGTGGGTGTTGCAGCAGGGGAGGCAACTTGGGCTCAAAGCCCAGGTCTAAGCCCGCCTGACTTCCTGGGTCTGTGCTTTGGTGACAAACCCAAGCCACTGCTTGTGCCAGAACGTCTGCATTTCTGTTTTCCGAGCACTAGCTTGAGCAGTGCAGGTTCGTGTCTGCCTGAGTTAGGAGACACTGCTAGCTGCAGCGTAGGCATTCGCAAAGAGAAATAATGGGTTTTACCGCTATCCTTAAAAAGAAGCTGGTCGTGAATTGTAGGGCTCTAATGGTAAATTTTGGATGTCTGTTGTAAGCTAGAACTCACTACAGATAACATCACGTATATAACCTCCTTTATATAGGTGCTTAGTTTGCTTTACTCCCCTACCAACTCATTCCATATTTTTAGATGTCTTTTTAGTTTCTGTAAATACTAATGATGAATGCAGAAAACAAATATAAATAAGAGCAATACATTATTAGGATAAGTAAGAGGTGATATCATAAAAAGCAAGATAACTCACACCAGGGAGCTCTTTGCTCTTGCCTTCTTTACTGGAAGCTCCACTCAGCTGCTCAATAAAACTGTAATGTGTTAATTGTTCAGGTCCATCCCCTCCATAATGGCCATAGAGACTGTGCTGATATAAATCCAAGATTGACATAGGGCTCCCCATAAAGGACTTTCTCACAGTATTTTCTTCTTGCTCAGCTATGGAAAGATTTTTAAAAACATGGCACATTTATTTGAGAGAAAGTTCATGTACAGCTTAAATGGATCACAGTGTAGTTTTTAATAGCAATACAAATACTTTAAGACAACTGGAAAGGTCAGTGGTTGGTAATAAAAACATAACACAAACTACGTAAAAGTTAAGGATATGATTTAAAACAACTGGGAAAGGACATTCAAAGTTAATACTTAAAAATTCAGGATGACTTTCCATCTGTAAGGCAAATACAATCGTCTGAGATAAGCAGAGGGGCATATCTCAGATTTTTAATTTCCTTTCTTTTATGACTTTAGATGAGACTGTTAATTTGACTTCAGTGTAGATTTTTTTTATTTAAACATTTTTATTTTAAATTTTCATCTTAATCTGTTAAATACCCTCCTGTCCTAACTTCCTTAGCCACATGCCTATATGGTTGGCCTGGTTTGGAGCATTCTTTTATTCACATTTTCATTTGTTTTATAAATCTTAAATTCTTAACTGACTGGCTGGTAATGAAGACAGTGATGTAGAACCTATGTTTCATGTTGGTGAGATTAGAATCAGGCTGTATTAACGTGTTAAAGACCATACAGGAAGTGGCAGTGCTAGGAACCAAATCCAGGTGTCCCCACTACTCATACTGAAACCCATGTTAAAAAACAAAATAAGCAAAAAAAAAAAACAAACCCAAAACAAGCAAACAAACAAACAAACAAAAAAACACCCCTCTGCTATGTTGTAAGACCTCACAAGGGAAAGTGGTTCTAGATGGTGCATTTGTTTTCCTACTGGCCCTTGCTGTTACACACATTTGAATGCTACCTGAAAGACGTACTGTATATCCAGTACCTTTTAAGAAAGAAAGAAAGAAAGAAAGAAAGAAAGAAAGAAAGAAAGAAAGAAAGAAAGATTGTCTCCACTGCCTTCAGCAGAGTTACATTAATGTAAAATCGATCTGAGCACAAAATGAGTATGGTCTGGTAGTTGAGGCTTAGAGCAAGGACTCAAAAGACCTAGGTTTAACTCCTAGCTGTGCCACAGTATTCTTTTGTCACCGGGCAAGTCATTAATAGCCTGATCCAAAGCCCACTGAATCAGTGATTTCTTCCATTAACTTCAATGGGCTATTCATCAAGTCTCTTGTCTCTTTGTGCTTCAAAATTCCTTGCCTGGACAATGGGAATTAAAATCTTTCCCTTCCTCATGAAATATAGTAAAAATAAGTTCATTAATGTTTGCGAGGCTCTGACACACAAAAAAATAATGGGGCCATATAAGTATCTAGATCAGGGGCAGGCAATAAAATGGAAGTGGTTCTTCGGGGTTAGCCCTAGGACTCTGCTGCTTTATTTACCTGTGCCTCCACAAATATGGGTAGGGTTGCCAAGTGTCCAGTATTTGCACCTTCCATCTAGTAAAAAACATTTTTTTTTTTGCTCAACAGAATTTGAGGGAGAGTGTGTGGTCAGTATTTTTTGTTATACTATCTGGCAACCCTAAGTATGGGTGCTTGCAGCTCCTGTAAGCCATAGATCACTGTTCCCAGTAATGGGAGCTGTGGGAAGTGGCATGTAGCAGGATACCGCTTTCCACAGCTCCCATTAGCTAAGAAGGACAATCCATGGTTAACAGGTGCTGCAAGGGCCCGTACCTGTGGAGGCAGAGGTAAATACAGCGGCAGCTGCCTGCCAGGGCTAACCCTGATGAACTGCCTCAGCCTTCAGGCTGGTTATTCGCTACTGCTGATCTAGATCATCTCTGTTCTGCAATTTGCTCATTTGTAAAATGGGGATAATACCATACCCACATACAGTAAAGTGTGTTGAGATCTTTGGATGCTAGTTGCAATAGAAGCACAGTGTTATTATTTACCACATCTAGGCAACAGTATTTAAAGTGATGAAGGCAGAAATGTTGGTCCTATAAGAGAAAAAACAACCTCTCGCTATACCAATATTTTAGGATTTTTTTTTGTGTTGCCTCATTCACATCCCAGAAATTTGCATCCATTTTGGTTCTGTTCCACCCTGAATGGAGAAGCTATGTAAATGAATGGCTCTCTAAGAAAAGTGGTGGTTTTAATTCACAGTACTGTCACAAAATTTGAAGGCTGTTGTAATTTAGCGCAGGTGTAACCACCAGCAGGCAGATTTGAATCTGGGACCTCTAAAGCAGAGTATAGGAGCCGCCACCCTCTGAGCTAAAAGCGAGCTGGCTCCCAGCTCATGCTGTAGAGGTCTCTTGATTTTAACTGTTGCTGTGGTCTAGGTACCACTTGCATTGCTCAGTAACCACACTAGGGCTACGTCTACACTGGCCCCTTTTCCGGAAGGGGCATGTAAATTTCAGCAGTCGTCGTAGGGAAATCCGCGGGGAATTTAAATATCCCCCGCGGCATTTAAATAAAAATGTCCGCCGCTTTTTTCCGGCTTTTAAAAAAGCCGGAAAAGAGCGTCTAGACTGGCCCCGATCCTCCGGAAAAAGTGCCCTTTTCCGGAGGCTCTTATTCTTAAATCCTCCGGAAAAGGGCTTTTTTTCTGGAGGATCGGGGCCAGTGTAGACGCTCTTTTCCGGCTTTTTTAAAAGCCGGAAAAAAGCGGCGGACATTTTTATTTAAATGCCGCAGGGGATATTTAAATCCCCCGCGGATTTCCCTACGACGACTAGTGAAATTTATATGCCCCTTCCGGAAAAGGGGCCAGTGTAGACGTAGCCTAGGTGTGTGGGTTATACAGGCACCTACACATGGCAAAATCCTTTAAAACATTTGTTATGGATAAAAAAAATGCACATATGGCAACACCTATTTAAGAAAATACAGTTCTCTCATGTTACAGTTTATTAAGCAAAATATCAAGAGTGACTATTTGATTTAATCACTTGCAACATTTCATATATAACCAAAGATTACAAAAATAGCAGCGTGCCATCAATACAATAAACAACCTCCCACACTTTTGTTGCGGATTGCCAACTTTTTAGCATTCTCCTAGAGTCTCCAGGAATTAAAGACTAATTTTTAATTTAAGATTATGTCAAGTGCTAAAATCTCCAGGAATATGTTCAACCAAAATTAGCAACTCTACCCTGTCAAAAAACACCCCAAATGGATTATTATTGCAAATACCAAACACTCAGCTCAGGTCCTAGTAAATACAAATGGCACCTTGGTTTCTAGCTGCAGTACCTAGCCGCCTGTGGTATTTTTAATGTATGTATCACTTCAAACTCTAATATTTGAAGCTCGCCCCTGTGCAAAGAGCCAGCATAAAGTCTATCACTGAAACCTCCCTTTAATTCTCAGAAATGCACATGCTTTCAGTGCTTAAGTGGGTTCATTGGTGCACAGATTTTGTGTGGGTCTGATACACTCCCTTGAATTGTTTGTGGCAAGTAAACCAAGGATGCATTTGAATACTACCTGAAAGAACTACTGTATATTCAGTACTTTTTGAAAAAAACAGTCTCTCTCTACTGCCTTCAAAAGAGTTATGTGACCCTTCCTGCTGCACAGTCTTCTCCATAAATGTCTAACATACATTGCAGGATGGCTTCCACTGGTGCTGATGCTCATAAATTACCCATCTAGCACTCAGTTCCCATATGAGGAGAGGTTAAAGCGACTGGGACTTTTCAGTTTAGAGAAGAGGAGAGTGAGGGAGGATATGATAGAGGTCTATAAAATCATGAGTGGTGTGGAGAGGGCCAATAAAGAAAAGTTATTTATTAGTTCCCTAAATAGAAGAACTAGAGGACACCAAATGAAATTAATGGGTAGCAGGTTTAAAACTAATAAAAGAAAGTTCTTCTTCACACAGCGTGTAGTCAACCTGTGGAACTCCTTGCCAGAGGAGGCTGTGAAGGCTAGGACTATAATAGAGTTTAAAGAGAAGCTAGATAATTTCATGGAAGTTAGGTCCATAAAAGGCTATTAGCCAGGGGATAAAATGGTGTCCTTGGCCTCTGTTTGTCAGAGGCTGGAGAGAGATGGCAGGAGACAAATCGCTTGATCACTGTCTTTGGTCCACCTTCTCTGGGGCACCTGGTGCTGGCCACTGTCGGCAGACAGGACACGGTCTGACCCAGTACGGCCGTTCCTTTGTTCTTATGTTCTAAAATTTAACAAAATTACCCCAAGGAATTCATTTTTACTTTCATGCTAGATTTCAATTAAGAGTCAATTCTTGTGACTTAACCTCATCCTCAGAAATGTAGCAATAGACACTGGGAAGGCTGACAGAGCTTTAACTATAACAGTGTGAGCAGAACCACAGTGTTAGAAAACTATGGCCATGGCTCATTCGGTTATTGCAACCTACTACTAACCTATGTAATTAAAAAAGGGTACAGCATTACAATCACCTTTTTGTTGCTGCAATAATGCAGCTAAAGACTTTGGTGGAACAGAAAACAATGATGGCAGTTTTATAATAAAAATACATAATGGAAAATTATATCTGAAGAAAGAGTTAAAAAGTGAAAATCAAACAGATACAGTACTATGAAAGATACAATCAGCTGCTGTCAGGATGGAGATGGGAACTATACATTATCATGTATAAATTTTCAGTTACCTTGTTTGTTCTTTGTTAAGTCTACTAACTTTTCCCTTGCAGTTCCAAAGTCACTTGTTTCATACTCTGGCTCCGTCTCAGTGTCACTACTGCTGCTAGCAGAATAAGTGCACACTCGCAGTGCCTTGTCCTACACCAGTAATAATAGCACAATGAGAATGACTCATATACCATGGAAGAATATTTTATTCAGATATAAAACATTTTGCATGAATCAAAGAAAACTTCTGATAAAATATCTGAACTACTGCAACTAACATTCATCATGTAATCGTAAGTTTGACAGTATGGGAATTAGCCACTATTATTGTGCAGATATGTCCCAAGAGTTAGTCCTGCTTATACTGGGCCAGATTCTGCCACTTTATTCACATTAGTAGTACCATCTTCCTCACCTGCTCCCATTGGTTTACACAGGACTCCTTGAGTAAGGGACAGCTTAACATGTATAGGAATGAGCCTCTTCCCTCTGTAAAACTGCTTTAAGGTCACACACTTTTCCTCACATAATGTAGATCTATTTTTTTGCATTTACAATACAATTTAAAAACTTCTCAAGTATTTCTAAGATAGCAAGTTTATAGCAGATAGGGCATTCAAACAAGAAATGATCTGCAGGGCTGTCTAAAGGTTTTATCAATACTTGTTGGGCACGACAAGCATAAGATGCATGGTTTTACCACTGTGAGCAATTCAGCCATTTTAACGTCATGCCCCCTCCCTTCCTATTTTTTGGCAGTGGCAGGGGGAGCAAGAGAGTCCACAATTGACTCCTTCTCCTCTGTACACAACAGGGAAAGTCACAGACATCTTCATCCCTTCCTCTGGAAGTGAGGAACCCTAGTAAAGAGCAGCCCTTGTCCTAATAAGCCCACTCCATGGAAGTGCTGAGGATTTAGGAGAAGTAGCCATCTTAGAAAGAAGAGGGGAGGAAGTTACATCTGATATTTGGAATAGCGTGGTACTTGTACCTGGTGTGCTGATTATCAACCAGATGGCAGGATCCACAAGTACAATTATCAACTAATTATCCATCACTAAATTAAACCACTTTTAAACTTTTTTTTAAAGAGACCTTCCTACAGCTGTTTTGAAGCTGCTGGTTTTCTCCATGCATTCCTCCCATTAGCTAGAGATTTAAAATGGCAGCTACTTATTTGTATAAGAGGTATATTCTAATAATAGCAATATGGGTCTAAAAGGTAACAGTACTCTAATCAGGCTCTACCACAGACTTGCCAATGTGAGATTGGGCAAACCACTTATCTTAGAGTCTGTGCCAGCTTTGTAAAGGACTGGGGCACCAGTTTTTTTTTTAAAAAAGCACAAGACAAAAATACTAGCATAACTTACAGCATAAGCAACATAAAGAAAGATCTTAGCTCACAAGAGCGTGAGGCCTACTTGTTAGCTGTGGACCAGAGTTAATTTGTTTAGCAACCCACTTTTATTGAGGAGCTAATTTTTTAAATCATTCTATGTATTCTATGTCTCAAAGGTTCTCACTTTCTAACCTGCTGCACCTGTTTTTCCATCAGAGCCGGCACTTCTAATCATTCATTGCCCTGCAACTATCAACACTAGCTTTACACGGGTGTGTGCATTTTCTTCTCTGTCTTTTTCATCGTTTTCAGGAAAGGATTGAAAGACAGACAAACAACTGTAGGGATTAACAAAATGAAGGGAAAAAAACCCATTACTGTACCTTTTACACTACAGTTAGATTACATCCTCTCACTCATACCACACCAAAAAAACAAAAACTTAATTCAGGAAAGAACCTTATCTCCAAAAGGGAAAAAACCCTTTAAAAATGCAAAATATCAAGCAAAGAAAGACCACCATGTATGAGTAACTCAATTTCCTCATATACAAAGTGCCTGGAGATAATAATATTTAAGTAATAAATGTCTGTAAAACATGAGAAAGTACCTAGCATACCTATGGGCATGGTATTATTAATAAATATTAAGGATAACATTTGCTGACAGAAGGAATTACATATTAGATTGTTAATTATTCTTTTAATTATAGTTAGCTCAATTAGCAATTTTGACTCTTTACAGTTAAAGATGGTCTTTAGAGCTCTCTCTCGCTCTCCATATTAGTTACCCCACCGGTATTTTTCTTTCAGTTATACCTTTGCATTTTTAGTGGCTTTCTTGCTGCTCCAATCTGGGAGAATCTTCTTGTTTTCCACATTTTTTTCAGTATGCTCTAATGAAGCAGAAGTCACCAGAATTTGTTCGTGTCCACTTTGCTTTGGAGGGTTAATTATTCCTGAATTCAAAAAGAGATTATGCAATTTCTGGATCTCATCATCATTACACTAACAACAGTGTTTGACTGTGTTTAGGTGTAATCCAGTGGTCAATTATGGATCAGATTCTGATACTTCTATTCATGTCAAATAATCCCATTCTTCAATGGAACTACTTGTTTAGTAAAGTGCTGTTCAATATATGGGTGACAAAAAGCACTTCCCAGTTATCAGGAGAAAAGACAAGACACAATTTAAAATCAGTTTTTGCCTCTTAAACTCTTTGCAAATGAGAAACAAAATGTTACAATGATTTTTAGGAAACAGTTAGGAGAGCTGTATTGTTATTTTATATTCCAATGGCGCGAAACACAGCAAACTCAGTTTGTTGACAGAGAAATATGTAGGAAATTATATATTATTGTAGAAAATTTTTAGATCAATTCTTTTTTTATTCACTACATGTATATTATGTAAAACTAAAACCGAAGAAAATAAATAGCTCTTTCCAGAATAAAATGATAGTTGTGTTTTTAGTGAAGTAGGGTAAAGAAGAAAGGTCAGATACAAATATTCTAGGAAAGAATGAGCTGACCCCAAAATGTGATGCATTCTACTTTTTTTCATCTCTCTACCACAATTTAATTAAGATACAAACCTACAAGGCTGGAGCAGTGAATATTAGCATTAAAATCAGCGCAATCTTACTGCTACTGACTTCTTATGAAGCAATTCAATGCTTGCAGTTTCTATTCAATTTGTTATAATGACAGTGTTTAATCATGGAGTCTACTCTATAGCACGCTGCTGAATTGAGGTCACACATGTGGCTATTCGAGCATGTAGCATATAATCTATAACTAAGATTTCTCTTCTGAATCTCTTTTTGCTGTGCCATTAATTAACAATACATTTCCTTCAAAAATAATATGTACTAAAATATATTTTATTTAGCTTTGATTAAAAATCTGCACAGGCATTTGCAATGAAGACTACAATGTGTGTTTGCATTCTACTGTACTGCACTGGGAATATGGCTAAATCAACTCCATTCCAATACGTTTAATTATAAACCTTCTCTTATACTGAGGAATGTATAAGAAAGGCTGTTTAGTCCTAGGTTCAATTTAAATAACAGCAATTTAGCAAAACATACTTTGGTGACTTTATCCTAAATTTAAACCATATGTCTAGCCTCACATGATCATTACTTGGGATTCTTATATGAGGACAATGTGGTATAGCTTCACGAAAGTTAAATAAATCAGAGTCATTTTCTAGTTGCAATAAATGCTCTACCTTGTCAAAGTGTAAGCAAAAAACATTTCACTCTTAATCTATCCCTGTAGACTTTTTTGCTGATTTAATAATCATTTTATTTTTAGAATGTAAACTCTTTGGGGGCAGAGACTGTCGCTTAGTATGGATTTATACACAGCTAGATCCACAGAAGGATTTACGATTTGTCACTTTGGGCACTGACTCCCATAATGGAGCTCCTCGATGCACCTGCTCAAATACTACCTAACCCTGTAGAAGATCACATTTCCACTGGAAAGTCTCCATGATACTACACTTCTGCTCGTGAGCTGCCTATGTCCTGACAACCAGCATCTAGCTCTTACCTAAACCTCCATGTGATCCTCAAACCCCGCAGGACCCAATCAAGTGGGCATTCTCAGAGGATACCTATTAACACTTAAGGAGGTGGTGGCAGCTACAGATCCCTTGTGCCCTGTTGCCAGGGAAGCTGACAATCTGTGCAGGCCCCTGGGCAAGGGGAGGAGAGCAGATCTTCTCTCCTGGAAAGCGCAGGGCTTTGGACAGAGGCAACCAGCCCTCCATGCCATTTGGAATGTGGCGTTACCCTTTCCCCAGCCCTCAGAGCTGCACAGAGCCCACAGCACAGCCCTCCAGCAGCAATTTAAAGGGTGTGGGGCTCTGGCTGCAACTGCTGCACCTTTTGCCCTGCCATTGGTGGGTCTGCCTGTAGCTCAGTGGTTAAAGCACTTAGTTAGGATGTGGTCATTGGAGTAGGGGGCTTAGACCAGACTCTTCAGTTGAGTGCACTAACTACTGGGCTACAGAGTCACAGTCTCACACTCACTCTCTCTGGCCCAGTGAATGCATCTATAGTTCATACAAAGTGGAACAGCTTCAGTGGGAGAGATGTAAGGCCACACCCAGGAGGCCATGTAGCCCAGAGGTTAGGGTATTCACATGGGAAGTGGGTGATCTGGGTTCAAGTCCTTTTTTCCAGATCAGGCAGTATGGCTTTGAAGCTGCACTTGCTCTAGGCTATATGAGGGATAGAACAGCTGCCCCCTTTTTCTGGGAGAAAGGGCTGAGCTGACTTAGGTGCCAGGAGGTCTCCTGGCTGTGAATCCCAAGTGGAGGAGGTGCCTGACTCTCATTAAGAGGGGGAGCTCAGGCAGCACCCCTCTCCTCTCTACTAGCTGAGGCAGCTTCCTGCTCAGTGTATTGGCTTGTATGACTCCCATTCTTAGGCATCTAACTCTCCTCATGCACTGCATAGGGAGCCTTGGTGTCTAACTCAGGGCCGTGGATTCCACTGTGCAGCAAGGAGACTAAACATTAGGTGTCTCTCTGCCCTTTGTGACTTTAGGTGCACAGTTTTTAACAATAAAGACCACCAATCTTAGCAGGGCTTCTGGGAATTCCCGTAATACAAAGAATGCATAATATGGAACTATGAACAATTAAAATGTGTACATTCACCACTAAAAGCAGTTTAATTTACTGTATTATCTATTATATATTTTGAAGAGGTTGGTTGTTTGTGGATTTGTTTGTGCAAAATGAAGTCATACTTCACAATTACCTACAGATACCAAATTTCGCATAAATAATCCTGCCACTTAAATTAGCTGAATGCACTACTTTTTACACCAGAGTATGCTGGGTGAAAGCTTTAAATAATTATTTTTTTTTCATTGGAAAAAAGGCATGACTATTATGATTAGAGTCCATAAAAACGTTTGCTAACAATATTAAGATTGAGTCCCCTATTCAACTGTCATTTTAGTGCAATGAAAATTTTTACTGTTACAAATCACAAGTTGAACCTCTCTCGTACAGGACTCCCTGGTCCAGCAACATCCTTGGTCTGGCTGGACCACAGATATTGCTAGAGCAGAGAGCCCAGCTGCAGAGTGGCTGAGAGTGGAGCCCGTTTGGTTAGTGGAAGCCTGCAGGGGCAGAACCCAGCTGCTTCCAGGATTCTAGGGAACCCCGGGAGCAGCCGCCACCATGCATGAAGCCGGGGAACCCCAGAAGCAGCTGCCGATGTACACGGGGCCAGGGAACCTCAGGAGCAGCCGTCGCCGCCATGCATGGGGCTGGATCCAGAGAACCCTGGGAGCAGCTGCTGCAGCCATATGTGGGGCTCAGAACTCCAGGAACTGCTGCTGCCCCATGCGGGGTTAGGGGAAGGGAGCAGAATCCCATGAGTGGCCTAGGGGCAGCAGACCCAGGCAGGTGAGCTGGAGGAGATCAGATCTCTGGGTTCTCCTGGGGTAGATGCCAGGAGCGGAGCCCCGGGAGAGCCTAGATGCCTGACCTTCCCTGGTGTAGCAAATTCCCTTGTTCAGGACCAATCCAGTCCTGAAGGTGTTAGACAAGGGAGGTTCAACCTGTAATTCAAATTAGTTACAGAAAGAGTAATGGAAGCGTTATAAGTTTCTGATTCAAATTTACTATGTATGGTAATTAATCAATAAAATGAATAATGTTTGAAGTTGAAATCCTACAAATTGAAAACTATTCTTTTACTTCCCTTTTAGAAGCTCATTAATAAAAAAATTCATGACATATATTTAATTTCTTGAACTTTGCTAGAAGTGTAATCTACACAAAATGACTTTATCCAGTCAACGATGGATCTCACCTGCTTATTTACAATACTTCCCATTTTAAGTATAGAAATTACTCCACGATAAAGATAAATGCTACAAAGTAATGAACAGCCATTTTTTTCCCTGGCACTTGCACTTTTAGACCACAAGCCTGCAAATATGCATACATGCACGTACCTTTACACATTGACAGTCCTACAGAACTCAATGGGACTACAGTCTTTCAATTCAGTTTATATATGTAAAGATATTCATGGGTGTTTTTACTGGACTGGGGCCTTCACATGCTTCGTTCATCTCTGTGAGCTATTGTTTTATATGCAATAATGCAAATTCTGCTGATACATCAAAATAAATGTTTTTACTACTGTCTAGAAATACATTTGTACAGTGCAGTAACATATCAAAAGACTTGTGTTTATAGTTGATACTGAATTTATGCATTGAGTCTAAATTACTCTGTAATTCAAGTCCCATTCTGAAAGCAAGTGTTTCTGAATGTGTCATTTTAATGTTTAATATAACAACATGGTCACTGACAGCAAATTGAGAACCTGCTCCTGAAAGTTTGCTGAGTACATGCAACTCTTCTTCAAATCAATGGAAATCCTGAGTGGTCGGCATTTCTCAGGGCTGGCTCTATTTTTCTCTCAAATATTGTTTCTTGAGGAAAGGATTTAATATTTTACACAATATTCTTTGAGATGCAGATATGAATTGTGAGCAACCAAAATTCCATTAGGCTCAGGTCACTAACTTGATAACCTTTTATATTCACATAAGGAATCTTTTCTGCTACATACTTAGCATTCCCGTTATCTAACATTATTATTACAGACTTCTTCTAATGGAAACAGACAATTGAGCAGAAAGAATCTAATTTCTAGTGTCACTGGCATTTTACCTGAGGAGACTGGTTTTGGAAGGCGACTTTGAAAAGGTCGGAAACCTTTGGCAGTCATGGTAGGATCAGATGTTGAATGACTAATCGTGCTTTCCACAGATTCCGGACTCTTTGCAGGTGAAGGCACTTCTCGCTCAAGAGTTTTGGCTTTTATGGAAGGAGCTGAAGGAAGGACTTGCTCAGGAGACCTGAAGACTTCAGTTTCTGATTCTTGTTTAGAAACATATCGCCCACTTGACCGATTTCCTGAGTCTGGGAGAGGGAAGGTTCCTATTCCACTGTCCAATGTTCTCATCTGGCAGCAAGACTCTAAGATACAGGAAGATTGTGTGATGGGAGTGGAGCTAAAGGAATCACTGGTATTTAAAGACAGTGAAAGGGACTGTGGGAAAAAAGGGTATCTTGAAGGGAAGGTTTTAAGGAAAGAAAAACATTTCACATTTAATTTTAACTATAACTTATAGTACTTCGTGTGAAACATCTTTTTCATTAAACACAATAAAACACATTCAGATGCAATTAATTCCCCCCCCCCCAAAAAAAAAGATAAAAGGCAAAACTTTCTAAGTGGTATTACTACTCTTAGTGGTTGGTATGACTTTCTCTGAGCTACATTATATTTTTAACAGTTTGGAGAGATTCAAAGAAGAGCATTAACATGATTAAGTGCTGTGAGTGGCAGAATCACAGGAAAAAGTAGAAGAATTAAGAGTGCAATGCTCTCTTTCCTGTGTGCAAACATGTAGAATAGGAGTGCATTCCTCCACAGACCATTACTCCCATTAGGAGAAAAGAGGTGCTGAAATGCCATGGCCAGAAGTTATACCATCAACTCTTGCAGATGACCAAGATCTTCAGCCCCCAAAGGTTCCCCAAAAGGCCTCTTCTAGCAAGTCAGCTCACCTCCCTGCCCTCTTACACTTTGGCTTAGTGGATGTCATCTAGTCACACATGCCTTATGCACTGTCTATTCAAATTGCAGCATTATTGTTACTATTGACCTGGGAATCAAGTGTTTTAGCTGGTAAATTCCAGGAAGGAGGACATGACTCAAAGCCTCACATCAAGTACCGTCCCCTGGGCCTTCTCGACTGCGAGGATTCAGTGCCACCAAATGGAGAGACGGATGCAACTGTGGATCCCCTAAGTGGGTGGATAAGATGCAGCTGTGTGATCGTATCGCTGCTCTCTTTTTTCACTCATAGACTTCCCCTCTGGCATAGGTAGAGGGTATTACGGCAATTATCTATATTTTAAAAGTGGAAATGTAACACCAACAGGTAGACTCAAACCTGGGACCTCAGGAACTTAGTGTATGAGCCTCCACTGCTTGGCCATTTGGCTCTCAGTTAAGGCTACAGGGCAAGCTCATTCTTCCTCTCTCTGAAAGTGGTCTAAGAGCCACTACATGGGATGGCACACCGCACCCAGAAGGCGCATAGGTTACGTAAACACGGAGGAGGAAGCTTTAGGACTAATGGCTTGAAATCAAGCAAAATGTAGATTCTATACATGGAACCATATCCTGATAGTAAAATCAATCAGGTTGTTGCAGATCCTCCCAGATGAAGTGGTAGAAAGTCCATTGCTTGAGCAATTTAAACCAGACTGAATAAAGGACTGGTGAGTATAGGGTAGCAAGCAACTGTGCCCTGGCAGGAGATGCACAATAATTCCATCTCTGTTTCTATGCTTCTGTGTACTGATCTTTTTATGATATTCCTATTTACTATTCAATGCCATTGTCATTAGCAGTGCTCAGTCAAGTCACTTTCTATTATTTTTCCTCTGCAGCATTTCTGACACACTTACAGGTTTGAAAATATTTCTCCCTTACACATTTTGCTTGTCTGAAATAATGGCTCTTTCCACTTAATATTTTCATCTTAACTAGCTTACTTTGATGCTGGTATAAGAACTTATCGACTCTCCCAAACTGTGAAGTGGTTATTTATGTTTGTTTCTTGTCAGAGGAGTAGGTTTAACTATCTATCTCAGGTACTTATATGGCCCCTATTTAGTGTACTAGAGGAATGCCTAACAGTCTTTAATGGCTTTATCTTAGGAAAGTAGTGTTACCCCCACTTCACAGATGGGGATCTGAGACACAGTGAGATTTAGGAGCTGTCTACACTTAAAATGCTGTAGCAGAGAAACTGCACCTCTTAGCTCTTCAGTGAAGATGCTATTTATACAGGAAGAAGAGGTTCTCCCATTGCCATAGGCAAAGGCACAATTATCCTGTCAACTGAGCATTGTCAACACCAGGGGTTAGGTAATTTTAACTTCATCATTTGGGGGTGGGTCTTTCACACCCTTCTCGGACATAGTTATGCTGTCCTCATTTCTTAATGCAGATCAGATCTTAGTGACCGGCTCAAGCTCCCACAGAAAGCCTGTGAAAAGACTGGCAAGGCCCAGGCAAGTGCCTCAACTATTGAATCACCCTTCCTCTTTTTTAGTTGTATTCTCTCTAGCTCCTTTTAAAGCCACAGTAACATAGGTACTTAGAATTTTGTGGACTGTTCCTATCAGATTGTAACAGTGTTAAGGAAAGTCATATTCAATGGGTCTGTCCTAGTCACATCGCCATGGACTAGCAGGGATTAGAAACCTTCTGGATCATAAGCAGACCTCATTTACTGACAAACCTCTGACCAACTAAAGAAAAACAGGAGTTAAGAAAAGATTTCAATTAATTTCTGCTTCACTGGAAGGATAGTGATGTGATGTGGGGATCTTAGTTTGGAAAGGTATAGCTCAGAAAACAATGGAAAGAATTCCCGGGGTTCAGCCGAGACATGGAATAAACTGAGAGGGATAAAAGGATGAACATATTTTGGACCCTAACTGTCTTAGCATGCCTTTTAGGGTTTGATCCTGCATTCCATTGGGAATTCTGCAAAAGAAGCAGCTCATACAATTAAACACACATTTTGTAATGTCTTTTCTATTTGCAGCAGTTTTTTCCATCACATTGTTTTAAAAAATATTCTATTAGAAACATCAGTCAGTCCTTCCTAATTCCAGCAAACCAATGGCTGGTGCTGGACTCAAATCAAATAACAGATTATGATCATGCAAGAAAGTAACAGGGGCCCTTCACTACAGGCAAAGTGGAAGTGAAAGACTTATCAGATCTTCTTGCAGCAGCTTCAAGAAAGAACACATTTTGTGCCAAGACAATCTCTCTTCCTCATGACTCATCTTTACAAATCCTAGGAAATGTAACATCCATGAAAGATAGAGCTCATAATCAAGGAGAATGACTAATAAGGACTCGTGCAGTTTGCCAAAAAATGGTTCTTGAAAAGTTGAAGTCCCCAACTGTTCCTAAAATAATCATTTAGATGACAGTGAGACCTGAGAGCACAAAATAAGTCTTATTAAACAAAAATAAATACCATTTATAGTCTGGCCCCATTCACACCTGGTAAGTGCAATTCAAATCTGTTAAAAATTCATAATGACTTTTACACATAGAGCTAGAATTTTTGCCTTACATCAATTGATGACTTCCCATCATTCCTGTTAAGACATATCAAACTTGTTACCCCAAAGTTTAATTTTCTTGGATAAAATTAAATCTTTCTTAATAAATCATTATAACGAATTGGAGGAACAGCTGTTACTCTGAAGAAGATAAGGAACACAAAGTATCCACATGTAATTTTTTTTACAATTTTGTTCTTAAAAAAATTGACATTGATCCAAAGTGCTCTAGGTGAATCACAGTACAAATTAAATTCTAGCAAAACTTCTGATTTGAAGAGGGTTAAGGATTTCACCCATAATCTCTGCCCCAGAAATTTTACAATCTGTACTGTCAAATGCAAGAAAGGGGACAATAAAATGGGAGAGGAAAAATGGACAAGTAAAAGGACAGTCAGCAGATAACATGGCAGAGCAAATTATTATTATTACTATTAGTGTTACAAATAAATGTGTCTGACTTATTCTTCCAGGCAGAAGTGTGACTTTGGAGAGATGGGTAAATGAAGAGAGAATAGTAATGTGTAATTCCCACTCAGGAAGTTCCATGGATCTTCCATGGATAAGCAGAAAGGTAGCAGTAGGGGTGAGGCAATAACAACAGATATGGTGATAAGTAGGAAAGGACAAATAAGGTATACATTTTAATTAGAAATGGGCCTGAATTGCAACCAAGATTTGCGTAACCTTGACTTTGGGCAAAGTTCACATTTAATCAGTTTGTAGATATTGTGTTGGATTCTTCTCTCACATTCCCTGGTATAAATTAGGAATAATCCCATGACAATTAACAGGGTTACATCAGTGTAAAACTACTGCAAGTGAGAAGAGAATCATGTTTGTACAATAATTCTTGTCTGATTTCTACCTACAGTAGCTGCAGCTTCTTCAGGTATGTTTACTGGTTATGCTGCTAATCCAGAGAGTAAACAACTGATGCATTCATCTTTGACTAATTATATCAAATGGTAGTGTGAGCTCAAAAGGAATAATTTGCTTCAAAACTGTCATTAATTTGGCAGAGGAATATACATTTTTTGTAGTTGCTTTAGTATTGCAGATGAAGAGAAGAATGTGCAAATAAAGAGATCTGTTCCGCCATCTGTAGTTTAAACTCTTCTTGCCAATACCACACATAGTTTAAAGATGTTTATTAAGTGGTAAAGCAGTTTTGCAGAGATCTATATACACTGGAGATACTAATATGAAAAAAGAAAGAGTGATAATTAATAGTCTGACATGTTTCAAAATAGTGGGAAAAACAGCCATTCTTCATATCTGGCTCAAAAAACACATTACATAATCTGGTGTTTATGCCAGTGTAACTTTTAGATACAGGATGAAAGTTTCTAATTCAAAGAAAGAACACTTGTCAGAATATTGGGAGTGGGGGCTTCATTTTAGGAGCTGGAATATTTCTCCTTCATTTTCAATTTAGTCATTCATCCCCGTGCAGACAACCCATGCAAGAGTTTTGTGTCACTTTAAACACTATTTTGAGGCCTAAGTGATGAGCGAGGAGGGTTGAGAGTTTTCCATTAACTATTTTCCAGTGAAAATTTAGGGTTTTGGCTAAATTAATTCTATTGTGAAAAGTGTCTGCTTTCTGTGAATTATTTTGGGTTCCTTTTAAAACATTTCAGCCAAAGAAACAAAGGATTTCCACCACACACTTAGGTTTTGGGTAAAATTCATAAATGTTTGTGTAGGGTTTTTTCCCAAGTTCTAGTGACACATGCCCTCTGCTCCAGGAAAAAAATGTCATCTTCTTTACATAATGTGGGCCATTAATGTGAAAGAAATTAAGACCCTGTGTG